TTTTTCCTTTTTTGTCTTTTTTCGTGACCGGTAACGGGATCGCAACCCTCGGTGTCGCACCTGCACCACGCCTAACCAGTGAGCGGACCGGTCTCTACATGGGATCCGAACCCTCAGCAGGAGCGCCGCCACACTCCCAAGCGCTGCACTCTACCGAGTGCGCCACCGGGCCGGCCCCTGTTTGACTTTTTTTTCAATAAGTACTATGTGGTTTTTTAAAGATTTTCATTTTGAGACATTACAATAATAGACAAAAATAGAATAGTATAACCCCCATATCCCCATAACCTAACATCAAGAGTTATCAATTTACAACTAATCTTGCTTCATCTCTGCTTCCCCCTTTCCTGTACCATGAAGCAAATCCCAGATGACAAGTCGTTTCACTAGAAATATTTCAATATGTGCAATATATGTTTAAAGAATAGGGACTCTTTTTAACATAAATATAGTACCACTATTTTACCTAAAAATTTTTTAACAGTGATTTGCTAATATCAAATCAGTGTTTAAATTTCTGTGTATTGTCTCCTGTTTTCTTAACAGTTTTTTGTTTGTTTGTTTTTTAAAAAGATGACCAGTAAGGGGATCTTAACTCTTGACTTGGTGTTGTCAGCTCTCCCAAGTGAGCCACGGGCTGGCCCTCTTAACAGTTTTTTGAGTCAGGATCCAAATTAGTCCACACATTGCAATTGGCTCAAATGCCTTATAGTCTGTAGGCTTTATTTCCATCTCTCTCTCTTTTTTCTCTGTGATTTGTTTGTCGAGGAGCTAGCTCTTTTATCCCGAATGTCTGAATTTTGTTGATTGGCTCGTTGTGTAGTTGACATATTCCTCTGGCCTTTGTGTTTCCTGTAAATTGTTGACCAGAGCTTTGTTCTGATTCAGATTTTATTTTTGCTTTTGTCTTTGTTGTACAAGACTACTTCATAGGTGATGCTCCCTTCTTTAATCAGGAATCGTATTAGCTCTCATTTTGTGATGTTAGCACTCTTGTTTTCAAGATGCATCCCTGTTATGTGTATACCTAGTTCTTTGTACTCCATGGCATTAATCTATCACATTTTATCTACCTACTCCCGTTGCCTCCAATTCATTGTCACCACAACCACCACTGCGGTAACACTCATATATGTCACCATAGAACTGAGAATTTCCTTGTAAAATAGACCCTGCAACAGGATTGCTAGGTCATAAAATATTCTGAGCTTAATTTGCCAAGTATTGCCAGATTGCTCTGAGAAATGCCTGCACTTATCTATAGTTCCATCAGCAGTGCCTATGTCCCCACGTGCCCACCAAACTTGACATTATCTGTGTTTCTAATTTTCGCCAGTCTAATAGGTATAAACAAATAAATCTTTTGTTTAATTTGCATTTTGCAGTTAATAAGTTTGAGACTCTCGCCATGTGATTGTTAGCCTTTTAGGTTTTATCTACTGTAAATTCCTGTTCCTAGCTTCTGTCCATTTCTTAATGGTAGTTGCTGCCTTTTTCTTGATTATTTACATATTCTAGATATAAATTCCTTGTTGATTTAAAATTTTTCAAATATCTACTCCTATTCTGTCACCTACCTATTAATTTTGTTCATGGATTCCTTAATTATTAACTTTTTGGTTTTATCTTTCTCGTTTAGGTTTTTATTCCACCTAGAATCTACCTTAATATATGCTGTTAACTAGTGCTACAGGGGTTTTTTTTCCTCCATAAAAACTTGCACCATTTTACTAATTTGGGATGAATTGACACCATGGACTCTCTTTCTATTTAAATTGTCTTCTGTGCCCTTAATTAGATTAAAGGTTGCTTCCCCCCCCCTTCATAGAATTCTTAGGCCATTATGGCTTATTCCCATATACTTTATAGTTTTTAAAATAGCTGTCATGAATGATATCCAATTTTCATTATATTTTTTAAATTAAACTTTTTATTTTGAGATCATTGTAGATTCACATGCAGTTGGAAGAATAGTGAGAGAGATAACGTATACTCTTTATCCAGTTTCCCCAACAATAACATTTAGCAAACCGTAGTACAATATCACAGCCAGAAAATTGACATTGATACAAGTCAAGATACAAAACATTTCTGTCACCATAAGGATCCCTTCTGTTGCCCTTTATAGCCGCTCCTACTTCCCTCCCACTCTACCCCTTTACCCCTGTTCTCTATTACTATATTGATATTTCAAGAAGTTATATAAAGGGCCGGCCCGGTGGCGCACTGCTACAGTGCGCTGCTTGGGAGTGCAGCGGTGCTCCCGC